TGGGGGGGGGGGGGGGGGGGGGGGAGTCTTGGGTGCATCAACCGAAACACAGGCAGTGGAAACCCAACCCAAACCAAACACAGGTGCTGAGGAAAGGATGCTGAGAACATTTCTGTTGCTCTTTTGTAGCGGTAAAAAGAAACTGCTACTTGCAAGGACCCGATCCTGCAGTTTTAACATTCTCCCGAAGTGCTGAGAGAGAGATAGAGTCCTATTCGAGGTCAGTTGAGTCCAGACAACTGCACAAATAAACAAGGATCCCCTCCTTTGGCTCTCGCCCCTTGCCGAGCACAATTTTAGGGCGAATTTTGATTTTAAACACCTGTAGGACCCAAATAATGTTTCAGCCGGGGCAGAAAGGTGCACTGCAGCGATACGCTTGGAGAAGACATTTTAGTGTAGGTGGTGGAAGCGCTTCCGTTCACCTCTACATTGGGAAGTTATATTCACTGCACCTGGGCACGGCCGCCGCGGTCACTTGATGCACAGATGATGTATTAGGAGTTCTGCAAAATGGGACTGTGGCAACCCTGATCAAACTAGGGACCACATAACAACACTCTGCCCTCTATACAAATTTGCGGGCGACTTGGCAGAGATACATTCCCTTTCCTCAAGAGCATTTAGACTGGTTAAGGCAGTCCTTGGAAATGTGAGAATAACTGCAGTCTCCCTATGCCTGAAGAAGGGTGTTTGTGCCCGAAAGCTTGCGAAGAACTTGGTTCCAACTACTCAGTTGGTCTAATAACAGATATCCCATCTGCCCAAAGAAGCTTGCCTGCCTGTGTCCTTAGACCAACACGGCTACAACCAACAAACCCCTTAGACCGGTTAACTAACCTTAAACTGGATGTATAATTGTTGCTTCAAGTCAAGCAAACGAAAAGAGAGAGATTCAGTATAACTAAAGCTATATTATTCACTATGACTTAGTGCATTTATGAGCCAGCAGATCTCAAGGATGATTTTCAATCAAAGGGATACCAATAGCCGATAGTTTTGGGCGACTGTTGACAATACAACCTAATCACTGGGGCACTGCTTTCCTATATGTCTGTAACTCAGCTCCCTTAACAAAAGCCTGAGGGCTATTGAGCTGACATGGTCCTGGGGTTTGGCTTTGCCTTGCTTTTCCCCTCATCGCCAGAACTCATCCTGGCGGAGTTAATTCATCCGGATTATTTGAAATGTATCTGGCCACGAGGCTCCGGTCCTTGACTCCACTGGGGGTTTTATTCGAGGAAGCAACCCGGCAGGATCGCGTGTGGCTCCAGCTCTCCAGCTGGGCTGATGGAGCTGAGTTGTGCTGCCTAACTCGGACTGGGGCAGAGGAGACCTGTAGCCAGTGTGAATGGGCCTCGCCGATCTCAGCCTTTCCAGAAACAGGCATGGAAAGGGACCAAGTCGCTGCCACGTGCAATGAAGCTGGCGATCGCAGCAAGATCGTTTGGTTCCCCTCGTCTCATCTGTATGTCGAGGTGTGCTGGGGCATAAGAGAGGACTAAGGGCTTGATGTACACAAGGGGACTTCAAGGCACCCTCGGGGAAGGGCGATCGCAGCTCCTCCACTCCCCAAACAGCAGGGTCCTCATTCAGAAACCACCGATCTGAAGCCCGGAGCCTCCCGCGGGCG